CTTGGTAGCCCAGGCTGGCCTCGAACTCACAGAGATCCGCCTGGCTCTGCCTCCCGAGTGCTGGGATTAAAGGCGTGCGCCACCAACGCCCGGCAAGATTGGAATTTTTTTCATCTCAAAAGTGCCAGGATTACAGATGTGGACCACCACTCCGGACTCCTTAAACTTGTAATTGCTCAACAAAGCCACCTTTTCCCAGCATGTGTGGATTAAAGACATACCAGAATAACACTTCAGATTCCCCACCTAAACTCTGCCACATGGAACATGTCCAAATGGGAGCCGGAAGATTTTAAAAAGAACGTTAATGTTAAACGCACACAGTGAGAATATTAAGAATCTGGTAATTTAGTATTCCTCAGCTAAAAACAGACTAACGTTTAAGAATTTTATTTTTTTTTAATTTATTTATTTATTATGTATACAGTGCACGTATCCCTGCAGGCCAGAAGAGGGCACCAGATCTCATTACAGATGGTAGTGAGCCACCATGTGGGTGTTGGGAATTGAACTCAGGACCTTTGGAAGAGCAAGCAGTGCTCTCAACCTCTGAGCCATCTCTCCAGCCCCCTGTTTAAGATTCTTAAACAGGGGGCTGGAGAGATGGCTTGCAGTCATAAATGCTGTATACATAATAAATAAATAAATCTTTTAAAAAATCTTAAAAGAAAAAGAATCTTAAACAGTGTTCTCAAGTCCTAATCAGGTTTTCTCTGTACTTTAAAAAAAAAACAAAATGAAACAAAAACAAAAAAACCAACCAAACAAACAAACAAAACCCGGGGCCAGCAGGCTCAGAAGGCAAAGGGCTTACTGAGAACCCCTGACAACCCAAGTCCGATCCCTGGAACCTATGCCAAAGGCTGGACTTGGCAGCACACATCTGTAACCCCAGCACTCCTATGGTGAGATGCGGGGGAGAGAAGTGACCAGAAGCTCTTGGGTCAGCGATCCGGGAGCACGCAGACGCAGACAAGTGAGAGAGATCCTACCTGAACAAGGCGGAAGGCAAGGACCAAGCCTGAACGCTGTTCTCTGACCGCCCCATGTGCACTGAGACACGCGCATGCTCACATATATCAATTAATTAATTAATTGATTGATGGATTGCCAATGCTCTTTGAACAAAACCCAAAAGCTTCAGTAATTTGCTACTTTCTACGTAAGAACGTGAACTCAAGGCGAGCTCCGTATCGCTTCCCTTGGTGTCCGTCCCTGTGACACTGGTAACTTCCTGTCACCATCCTTGACCATCCGCTCCTCACACTCACCTTCTCGGTGGAGGACCTGCCACTCGCCCGCAATCCAGGCCTTCCTGGAAGCGTATAAGATGGTGTAGCGGGTCACAACTGTCTCTGGGCCGTCTGGGGGTTTCCAGGAAACAAGGGCAGTGTCGTCCTCGATCAGGGTCACCTTCACGCCCACCGGGGGGCCTGTGGGTGCTGTGGGGACATGAGAGTGACACTGTATGAGCGGATCAGAGGGGTTATGAGCACGCCTGTGCTGGCTGACAGACGGAGAACCAAGGATGAGTCCGCACAACCAGGGATGCCTGTAAGAAATCTGAACATTGGGGCTGGAGAGATGGCTCAGCGGTTAAGAGCATTGGCTGTTCTTCCAGAGGTCCTGAGTTCAATTCCCAGCAACCACATGGTGGCTCAGAACCATCCATAATGAGATATGGTGACCTCTTCTGACCCGTAAGCATAAATGTAGGCAGAATACTGTATACATAATAAATAAATAAATCTTTAAAAAAAAAAAAAAAAGAAATCTGAACATCATCGCTTTTGAGGTTCTTTGTAATAACAGGAAATAGCTGAGGCTGGCCTTCAACACCTGTTTCCACCTCCCGAGAGCTGGAACAGGAAGACACCACCATGTCTGGTTTGCGTGGTGCTGGTTTACCTGAGGGCTTTGTGTATGCAAGGTGATTCACCCAGCGCTCTACCCACTGAGCTCCTTCCCCAATCTTAATTTCACTTTCCCGTTTAAACCAGTTTTGAAAAACCATAAAGAAGAGGGTAGGGCTGGAGAGATGGCTCAGAGGTTAAGAGCACTGGCTGCTTGTCCAGAGGTCCTGAGTTCAATTCCCAACACCCACATGGTGGCTCAACACCCACATGGTGGCTCACAACCATCTGTAATGAGATCTGGTGCCCTCTTCTGGCATGCAGGCAGAACACTGTGTAAATAAATAAATATTTAAAAAAAAAAAAAAGGGGGTAGACTCTAGATGGAAATGTCTGACATCTAAAGGACAGGATTTTCAGGACTTGTGAAATATTATTGTTAAAGTACCAGTTAGAATGGCTATGGCAGTAGGTACTTGCCGAGCGTGAGGCCACAGCAACACTTCCTACCTAGCACAGGGAGGGGAGGGGCGGGGGAGTACAGTGTATTATGTCATCTGTTCAGAAAGTCGGTACTGACTCCAAATTGTAGCTCCTTCTGAAGTGTTTAGAACAGTAACCAGATCCAGAAGGCTTGAAGCAAAGGCTCCCGAGATCAAAGCGTTCAGCTGTTTCCCAAGACACCAAGAACCAGCGTGTTTACAGAGCAGACTCAAATACGAATTTCTGTGTGTGAACGTCAGTGAAATCATGGAACATCAGCTGACTCCATGTTTAACAAGAGCTCAGAGTATGAAGAGGTGGGCTTTGGTGCTGTTTTTATGGGATAGCATCAAAACCAGCAGGGACACAAAACACTGGCTAGAGCCACAGGTGTCACAGCTGGAGCACAGCCAGCTAGTCACATGACCAGCTAGTCACATGACCAGCTATTCACAGGACCAGCTATTCACAGGGCACCGGGAACAGCACCAGGCTGCCACTGATAGGAAAATGGGGTCTGAGGCGGGCTCCTAAGAGCATTAATAAGCTTCTTCTGTTTTCAGCAAGCTGAGACTAAGGTTTGAACATCATGACTGACTGGGAAAAAAAAATTAAAGAGGAGTCCTCAAAGGAACAGAAATTAAAGCTCACTGGCTTGTAATTTTTCATAGAAGAAAAAAAAAACCCTCTTAAATATAATAGAGAAAAATTCAAAAGGTAAGAAAATGAAGAAGCACATTTCAACTGGTAGGTGTTAGAGGTCATTTTGCTCTCACAGTGGCATACATACTTCCGTTCTTCTAATCTCGGCTTGCCCTGAACTCACTGTGTAGATGAGGATAACCTTCAATGTCTAAGCCCCCCGACTCTACTGTCTTAGTGGTGGTGCTCGCCTTTAATCCCAGCACTCGGGAGGCAGAGGCTGCCTAGGCAATCTCTGTAAGATCGAAGTCAGCCTGGTCTACAGAGTGAGTCCCAGGACAGCCAGGCCTACACAGAGAAACCCTGCCTCAAAAAACCAAAAACCAAAAACCAAAAAAAAAAAAAAAGTCCTAATAATTTTGTTTTGTTTTTTAAAGAGAGGCATGATGGTATATGCCTTTAATCCCAGCACTTAGGATCAGAGGCAGGCAGATCTCTCTGAATTCGAGGTCAGTCTCGTCTACAGACTGAGTTCTATAACAGCCATTTGACCCTGTCTCAAAAAAACAAACAACAACAATAAAAAACATTTCAAAACAAAACAAAAAACATATATAGGCAGAGGCAGGCGGATCTCTGTGAGTTCCAGGCCAGCCTGGGCTACAAAGCGAGTTCCAGGGCATCTAGGACTGTTACACAGAGAAACCTTGCCTTGAAAAACAAACAAACAAACAAAACCCCTATATATAAAAATCCATGGTGGGACTAGACAGATGGCTCAGTGATTAAGAGCACCAGCTGCTATTCTAGAGGACCAGAGTTCGAGTCCCAGCACCTATATGGTGGTTCACAACTCTCTGTACTCCAGTCCCAGAGGATCTAATGCTCTCTTCTGGCTTCTGCAGACACTGTATGTATGTGCCGCACAGACACAATGCAGCCAAAAGACCCAATCACATAATAAAGAAAGAATGAATGAACGTGAATACATAAAATTTGAGAGATCAACTCCACAAGGAAGCTGCAGTTTCTACCTTCTGGGAGTGTGGAATGGTAGACCACGGGGCTCCAGGGACTGGAGAGCTGATCCACATGCAGCCGGACGGCAAATTCATACTTGGTGTTTGGTTCTAGTCCTTGAACCAACATGTGGGTCTCCGACCTGTATTAAAGAGGAAGGGGTTTGTTAGTGCCAGGAACAATTTCCGATAGTCAGTGTATCAATTCATGTCAAGGAAGTATAGTTTTCAGAACTGAATGAACAGCGGGAACCGAAACTTCCAGCCGATTTAGATTACCAGCTCTGAGATGAGTGTGGTCTCAGACGAAGCCCAAGCTGAGCCCCAGGCCGTAGCAGGAAGCGTGAGCAGCCAGGAAGACAAAGGAAACAACCAGGAAGACGACAAGCTACATACGTTTGCAGGTAGAGAACCAGAGAGGCGTTCTGCAGGCCGACAGGGTTACAGCGGATGGTGTAGTTAATGACTTGGGCCGTGGTAAATGCAGGCCTCCTCCAGTGCAGGAAGATGGAAGAGGAGGTGTTAGCCTTCGCATAGAGATGGTGGGGCGGCGGTGGCGGAGGGACCATGCGATCGCGAACAGCTATTGAGAAATGCGACAGGACTTTACCGCAAAGCGCTGGTGCTGTAGGAGCAGTACAATGAAAAATGAGCTAACTCCCCTGTCGGTGGATCTGAGGTCTTTCCTCCACCAGTCTCATGGTCTACCCCTGACTCACTCGGCTACCAAACTCTTCTGTGAGTGAGATACGGAGTCAAAGGCTTAACTGTTTGAAAAGCAACAGCTCCAGACAGTTGTAGTAGCGCACGCTTTTAACCCCAGCATTCGGAGGCAGGAGGTTCTCTGTGAGTGAGCTCGAGGCCAGCCTGGTCTACAGAGTGAGTTCCAGAAAAGCCAGAGCTACATAGTGAGGGCCTGTCTTGGAAAAAAAAAAAAAAAAAAAAAAAAGAAAAAAAAAAAAAAAAAAAAAAAAAAAAAAAACTAAACAAACAACCACCCCCTCAAAAAAAAAAAAAAAAAAGAGCAAAGAAAGAAACAGAGAAAAAATACTTCAGTGTGGTAGCAGATGCCTTTATTGTTAGGCGGAAAAGGCAGATTCTCTGTGAGTTTGAGGCCAGCCTGGTCTACATAAGCAAGTTCGAGGACAGCCAGGGCTACACAGTGAGACCTTGTCT